GATTAATTGCTGCCAATATATCCTTTGACTTTTTCGTGTTGTCTAAATTCTGATATGAATACTTTTCATCATTCTAATAATTTTTTGAATGCTTAAATCTTTGTAATTTTTAAGACAAAAATATTCTCTTTAGCATGAATTTTTTTTAAAAAACTATTCCTAAAAATGACTTTAAAAATGTCACAAAGATATTTGAACAAAATTCAAATCAAGATCAAGAAAAGTGGATTGATCGGCAAGAAGATATTTCAAGAAGCTGAAGATGCAGAATATTTTATATTGGCTCAAGATATGAAAGCTTCTAAACAAACAGTTTTAAGTAAATATAACAAATAAAAATGTGCAAGTTGGATGAAGAAGTACATGGAAACAGTAAATGTAGAACTACATTGGATGTGTTGATGTATATTTAACTTAGGTAATCCATTTATGTTGACCAAAAGAACTCCTCCTCCTTGTGAGAAGAGTTCTATTTATCAGTTTGGATTCAACCTGAAGCACTATTCTCCTTCCAGTACTTTATAATTAAGGATCTAGTCAATCACTGTAATTTCATTCCATTCCAACATTTCTTTAAAGGTATTAATCTCCACTTTCAGCCTCTTCTCAGTTATTTCTCACTTGGAGTAGACAGCTTGATACAAACACTTACTATCAACAAAATATATAATAGGGATACCATTATAATGGGAGGGAGCGATGAAAGAAAGATTTATCCTCCCACTAGTAATTCCCCCATTATGGGTATTATTATATCTGTGATATAAACACCATGATTCACAGACAGAACAGAATGACTGAAAGGAAAAGGAATGATAAACATGATTTGTTCTCAAAGAGTCTTTTATACCACTAAGATATGCACAAAACTATATAAACATATATATATATTTATATATAATATATATGTGTGTGTGTGTGTGTCTCACGCAGAGAATAATATATCACATATATCTACACAGTGAGCAGAGTGTCAGGAGAAACAAAAAGGAAGGGTTTTACATATAATATGGAGATATTCCTGTATCTGGAGAAGCCATGTTTAGGACTCCAGATTTAAACAAGCTGGATTAACCTACTATGTCCCAACTGAGGATATATTCCACAAAGGGAAAACAGTAAGTCTTAAACTTTCCCAAATTGAGATTGTGAGCTGGAGTTTCTTTCTATATGTGGGAAAGATATATTCTCAAAGGGAAAAGGCATCATGGACTTGTAGACTGTATCATTTGATGGAGGAGGCAGATTTAGCCTCAGCCCAGGCCCTTTGGCCTGGTCTAAAAAAACAAGTGCTTGGTTTAGCTGCTATGAACAAACTGAAAGATTAGCCACCCTTGTCACTGTATGGAGTGACTCTCATAACTTATCCCACTAAAGGGAGATAATTGGCTTCTGTATCTCTGCACCATCGAGATGATTTCCATTATGAATCAATTACCTGTATAAGGCAGCCAAACAATGATATGGTCAACCCTCTTAAGAACCAGAATCTCATCAGCTAATGTGCTTCTGACTTCTTATTTTCTTTGACTGCAAAACTAATAGTGTTAATCTTACCATTTGTCCCCATGAAAGATATAATAAAACCAACCTGTCTGCCTTCATTTGAGAGGTTCTCAAAAATAAACAACACAAATTCTACTTACTTTCCCAGATCTTGATAATTTAGCGTAACCTCTTCATTTTGAACTGTCCATATTATTTTATATATTCTTTTAAAATCCTCAGTTGTACTATTATTGATTTGAGATGTGATGGTACCTACATTAAAAGCAATATCAGGATGGATATACTTAGCAAACAAAAGTGTCCAATGTTTGACCACTGTATAGATTTCTATATAGAGGATAAAGGTGAATCTCTCAATCTATACTTATTTATAGTGATTGGTTTTAACATTTACCATTAATGTCTTGTAACAAACATAAGTCTAAATATTTGAAAGAATCAAAAGATTATTTTCCAACATTGAGAATTTTCTCAAAGAACTCCATACTCACTCAAAGGAAGTTATCCATGCACAACCAAAATTCCTATTAAATCTTGTGAACCAAACCAAAAAATACAGTTGGATCCACCTGAAAAATAGTACAATTCAGTGATTTCACAAATGTAACTTTTCATCTTTTTTATATCAGTTCAAAGATGCATTTGCCATTCCATAAACATATTTGTTCAAAAGCCAATTTTTTTTATCCACATTTGCCTCTTTTAGTGGCCAAACATAATACTTCTCTTTGAATCGCTTCCCCTTGCAAGAATGATGCTTTAAAATCTACAGCATGAATTTCCCATTTTCTTTGAGCTATAATAGATAGAATAAGTCAGCGAGATTTTTTTTTTCACAAGTTGGAATAGTTTTTTGTATTTCATCTAAACATTCTTCTTCAAATCTTTTGGCCACAAGCTTGGATTTTCTTATAATTTTACTATCCACTTCCTTGACTGTATAAATCCATGATGGAACCAAATCTTTCACTTCTTTACATACTTTATAATTTTTCCAATCTTCAATTTCCAGTTGCTTCACATCACTAGAATCAATTTTATTAAAATACATTTCATTGGTAACTCCTGCTTCATTTTCAGCCTCATCACAAGCCAAATGCTTGTTTTTCAATTTACCATAAAATTTACTCTTTGACTTGGAATCACTTGTATTTAGTTCCTTAACTAAACCAATGTCAATAGATATTTGTTTTCCTTTTATTTCATCAGGTTCAGTTTACTCTATAGTTTATGAATTTTTCTTATTAGTAGAAGCTTTACCAGACCTACCTAAAATTCTTTTTTTTTTCATATCCAGCTGACCAATTGTATTGTTTGACAGAGATATTCTTTCATTTTCACTTAAACCAGTGTTTCATCCTATTACTAGTGTTACAAACTTCTGCCTTGATAATTAGTATCTTTTTCTTCCATACTAATTTCTAATACATCTGTACTTGGTATATAAGTTTTATCTTCATTATTATTACTATCTTGACCAATTAGAATTTGCTGTATTTCTGTTTTCAGTTTCTGTTCTCAGATGTATTTTAGATGTTTCACTTTCAAGATCTCCCAGAAATAGAAATACAATAAATTCTATGGAAGGAGAGAAGAAAAGCAAAGAAAGAACATAGAAGAAGCAAAAAATCAACCAAGAGCATAAAGTCCCTTCATTTCAGGGAGATGTAATGATATGTAAATGTAGAAGTTTGATCATTTGCATATGGAAGAAATGCACTTTACAAGGAAAAAGGGCTTGGAAAATCTGATACTCACAGGACAGATTAAAGACAAGAGGGACAGTGGAAAGCAATGCATAATTGATATGTCCCAGAAAGGGATATATTTGTTTGAAGTAGCAAAATGGTTTTGGACTACTGTAACCGAGTCGGACAATCTAGCAGGTAACTGTAATGGACTGGTCCTCGTCGTAGTGGTAGGCAATAGGCATAGGCAGACTATAGGTGTAGCCAATAGGTGTCCTCACTGTACCTCCACATCAGTCTGTATTTATGACTGACACCAGCCAATCCTATTACTATGAGGTGGAACCCAGGTGTATGCATCATTACATCAATAACCAACCTAGCAAGCTTGAGTAAATGGATGATGGAGCAAGGTTTAGGAGAGATAACAAAATGAGAAAATGTATTAAGAGCTACAACGTACAGGAAATTGTGGAGAGCCATGATTGCCAATGTCCTGAACAGATACAACATATAGAAGAAGATTGTGAGTAACTTGTGAATACTACTACTACTACTACTACTGGTACAAATGAGTTTTAAAACTAAAATCTTTTTTCTTGTCAGACAATAGTTTTCTATCAGTGACCAGAATCTCTCTATTACTATAATCATTCTGACCAAAAGGATTTGGAGGATTACTACCATCTTTAATGTTTATACAGTATTGTCCTGTTGATGTGAAATGAACATCAATTTTTTTGTGCAAGCATGTTGACATTTTTATTGCTTAAATCTAAAACTGTTATTGCTCGTTTCAATGATTGTTTTATACATTTGCATTTGAATTTCACAATCAATCTTTTCTGTTTCAATGTGACGTATTACACTTTTGCTAGAAACCTAACATTTTAGCAAGAATAGATAGTAGCACCATCCCTAAATTTGAATGGTATATGACTTTCAAAACAGTGTACTTTCTGCACAAGATAATGATTGAAAAAAATTTAAAAGCCAATCTTAGAGCACACAGTTTCTATGATCACTGCATTATAATGTCTCCAGTACAAACCTAAGTTGCAAATGTCATAAGTAGAATTTTAATTGTTTCTTCTTTAGAAATATCTGACAGCTTTTCTATCATGTGAATATTCTGAGATTTATGTTGTCAATCCTTAATCCAGTTGTATTTGGAGTCACAGAATCTTTTTCATTAAAAGATATATTGTTTTCTCCAAAATCTAGTAGTGGTACCACTGATTTATTTGTGTAAGCTTGAAGTAACAAATAATAGTGGCCATGAGTAATGAAGGTAGATTTTTCTTTGAGATTGAGTGACAAGCCATTCTTTGCAATTGAAGCTTTTATTCCAAAGATTTGATTTAAGGCGCCACTTTCATGGTAACAAATTTCAAATCATTACATGCAGTTAAAGCCAACTGTCTTTCACTTGGGGTAATCCCAGCATTATCTAGGTGCTTGTAATCTAATATCTACTTATATGCTAAATGTATCATACTATGTAATATGGCATGCAATATATTCTTTCATACAAATTCTTCATTTATTGATTATTATAACTGCAATATGTAATGAATAATGAATGGAAATTTTGGTGCAAATGTCTAAAAATCCTACCTGTGATATCATGAAATAATTGTGTAATAATGAGAAATTAAGTACTTATTGGTATTTTTTTCAATGAGTTTAATCCAGAATGAGGAATGGGATGTTTCAGTAAATATCATTATTTTTAAAACTAATTTAAACAATTTCAATTTTGTCTTTGTTTTTATTTAGTGTTATTCTTATATCTTGTTGCAGATAGTAGCTGTGGTAGCAATTGGAATTAGTTATTATATTTTGTCTGAAACAAAGAAAGTAGTGACAGATGCTGTGGATTTTATTCTGGATCCTGCTATTATCCTTTGCGTGGTGGCGTCAATAACATTTATGATGGCTCTCTTTGGTTGCCTTGGTGCCATTCGGGAAAACAAATATTTACTCCGGGTGGTAAGTACTGGTATGTTTCATTCGTCATTTTCATGCTGTTTTTTTAACATTTTTCTTACCCTGTCTATTTTGTTATAAATCTATTTGAGGGAATGCATTCTGTTTTGTTTATTAATATAACGTCTAAACCAATTGTAAGATTATCTGAAAAGTTACCTTGCCTTTTTACTACCAGGTTTTCAAGTATTTTGTCAATTTTTCACTTTCTTTTACCATCTGGATGTTTGCAACATTTTTATTTTCATCAGACTTTAATCATAATTTACTGTTAAAATTACTACTAGTACAGTCATCCAAAAGTTTGTATAGATGATTGGTATCATTCTTTAGGTTGCTTTTATTGATACTAAGACATTTTGCCAATCAATTCTTTGACTTTCTTCAGATATATAAACTGTATAGACAAAGATAGAATTGGGAGTTTCAGTTTCTGGTTATGTCCGCTAATTTTTTGTTTGTTTTAAATAATAGAAATAGAAATATCTGAAAAGAAGAGACAAACTGTAAATCTGAAGAAGGCCATAAATATTATTGTCTGAAACATTGTGTTAACAAGAAAAAGAATGAAATCAAAAATCTGGACAACTTTAAGAAGGATAATACCACATCTGAAAATTAGAGAACTTTTGGGATGATAATCACTTCTCAGAATTACAGACTGGTGAGCAATATTAGAAAAAAATGAGATGAATTGTACAATTAATGAAGGCCCTAGAATGAACCAGATAAAATGTTGTAAGAACAAAATAAAAAAATGATGTGATCAATAGTCCAGATAAGCTTAGAAAGATCATTAGCTTTAGTCAAAAATAGGCAGACAAATGACATTAGGTTTAAAGCTCCAAATTTCAACCATCCAATTGTTCCACAGGACAGCTTGATAGAGAAAATTATTACCTGACAACAGTGCAGTCATTTCCTTAAAGAAAGTCCTATACTCTGGTAAAGTGAGACAAACAACAACATAATTAAGAAGAATTAACTGATACAAGATAATCCTCTAGTATGAAGTATGAAATAGGAATAAAAGAGAAAACAAATAAGACTAAAATATTTGGCTGAATAAATCAATTTATAATAATGTGTTATGTTCCGACAATCTTTGTCGGAACTTTTATATTCCATGCTAAGGGAATAAATAACACCAGATGGATACTAGAAGAAAGGTTTATTGTACACAACAAGTACAATATAAAATAAGGTACAGTTATACACACAGGTCAATCTAGTAGTGATTGCCACTAATTGGAAGGTCGGATGTGTTTGCGTCTTCTCACTGACTCTCTTCTCTCTCGTCCCAGTCTCTTGTAGACAGTCGACTTTATAGATACTACCTATAGCGTAATCATTCATGGAGGTGCTGGGTTATTCAATTACATCATAATTATAATTTCTGATCTCAAAAATCTCCAGACTTATTTACTCTCAATCCGTATTGTTTATTGATAGGTGTGGATTGACTGAATATTTATGATAATGTGCAACTTAAAATACTCGTGAGAAATAATTAATGGTTTGTTGTAAATATTTCTAAATCTACCAAAAATATTTCATAGATGTGATTAACATAACTTTATGCTGTTTGTCAACAAAATGAAAGATTCTTTGCAACTTGACATGAAAAAGTCTTGAGAGCATAACAGCCAAAATATTTTAATCAAAATAGAAAACTGGTCCAGATATTTCTTTGGATACATACAGTACCTCTTCTCAAACTTTTGAATCTGTATTGATTCAATTTTTCATGATGACTGATTAATATTGAATTCATTCTTAATTAATGCACAGAAAGAAGAAAAATTGTTATATTTATCAGCTTTCAAAAAGTTATCATTATTTTGATATACTTATATTTAGATTTTGAATGTAATAGTTGATAAATATTGTTAGAACACTTTTAAACAAGACCTGCTGACCATTGTATCATTTGGTCTGGATTCTGTTGTCTTTAATTACTTTCTTCTTACAATTTTTTGGCTGTTGTACATTCAAGGAAACAGCAAATTGACAAAATACCAAGAAGAGGATTAATCTGAAGAAAAAATGCAATAATAGATGATAAATGGATTTATATATTTCCTGTTTATTTTAGACTTAGTCTTCTCTTTAAGAGGCTAGAGCTTTACATGTCTAAGTATAGCAGGTTCAATCAGTGGCGTAGCTAGAGTAAACATCACCTGGGGCGGTCCGCTCAAGTGTCACCCCAATGACCCCGATTCACCCTATGCTGAATGGTTAGCTGTAGCTGAATTTTCATACATGCTCTACCTCTACTTTACTCTACTGACCAGTACGTTACTGTTTACATGTATGATCCAAGACAATATCCAATATCACAAAATAATCAGTTCAAATCAAAAGATTTTTAAAATGCAACTGTTCACTTTCAGAACAACTAAACACGACAATACACAAAAGAATGACATTCGATACTATGGTCTTAGAATGAATGTTTTCTTTTTTTCATTGTGGCAAACTGGTCAATGAATCGTCAAAATCTGTTTGTCTTGTAAGCTCGTTTTCAATGGACAGCACAGCCAGATCCGACAGTCTCGACTGGCACATGGTTGACGTAATTTTCTGTTGTTAATTTTCCGGTGTCCAATTTTCTGTTGTATCATTTTCTGGGTACCATTTAATTATCAATGATGTTTGAAAGTATTTTTCTTGACAAAAATGTTCTATTTAATTTTAAAGCATTTTTCAGAACATTGTAAATCAACTGCATTCTTTTAAAGGTTACCTAGAGAATTTATGCAAAGTTTATTTTTTTTGTTTTTCTTTACAAGTAAAATAAATTTACATCATATTTTGATGTTATTATGATTTTAGTTTTAGTGATAATTTAAAAACAATAAATATTTATCATTAGTACCAATTAAGTTAAAAATTTAAAAGAATCGTTTCTGGAATCGGAAAATAGGCACAAATTTTTCCGATTCTGATACCGTTTTCAATATCCCAAAAAGTTCTGATTTTTCCGATTCTCAATTCCGATTTCGATTAATCGTCCCAACACTAGTAGATATATTCAAAAGTGTATCGCTCTCTCAATGGAAAATTGTATCTCAGCAAATTGATACACAGGCAAGACTGAAATTGTTGCACTTTTGGCTTCGTATTTCACTTTGTTGTTATTAATGATGCAGAGTTAAAACACCATATCATCCGATAAAATGTTACAACAATGTCTCTTGTTAGTAACCAAGATTGTAGCAACTGAAACACATGAAAGCTGAAAACATTGCTATTTTTCCTACTTACAAATTTCCCGACAATTTATTAGAAAATTTCTGCTGGTGGGTACAAAACTGAGGGGTCATAAATTATTTCTGGGGGGTCATATGCCCGTCTGTAAAACCCTGTGTCTCCACCACTGTTTTTAGACTATTTTTGGCACCTTAACCTGGTTGAAAAATTTTGTTGGGTGTGACATTGTGCCACCGCCCTCCCCTAGCTACGCCACTGGGTTCAGTATATTTTGGGGACTTCTAACTGAATCAAAACAACCAAAATTATTATGGACATATGCTATTATGACATCCGTCTACATAAGAAATTAGGGATTATAGTCAAAGAAATAGAAAAACTGCCTTTGAAATATTTCCAGATCACAAACCTAATGTTTGTAATATACATATTTTTGGCACTGTTTGTTATGGCAACATATAACATAGGAAGGAAATGGATATTAAATGTGAAAAGGCAATTTTCATAGGCAGGACTCATCCTATCTAATATGTATTCCAGAAATTAAAAAGTTCAAAATAATAAAGTGCATAAAATTTTTATAAAAATGATGGACTTCTTTTACTCAGAGACAAAAGGTTGTTCATCAAGGCCATAAAGAAAAAAAGATGATGAATTTCTTTAAAGGACACTATTTATATTATTCAGACTATTATCCTCATCTTTGTCACTATATCTATTACAACATTTCGGCCGTTGTACACTCTGGCCTTCTTCAGGTGATTGGAATGTCGAATTGAACTCTTTATTTCATTCGATGGGGTAGTTCCACATGCCTTGTCTAATGGATGTCAGTTATCTCCTGTTAATTCCCCTCTCAAAGTTCTCCACTGCTTTAACCAGGTATTGAACTCACACTCTTTGGGTCCTGTCACTGGATCTAACCAATGCCTTTATCCACTGTACTATGTGTCCTTGAGTAGATCTGTGTATAAAACTAATGTCTTCAACAACCGTTTTTTACCAGTGCTCATATTTTTGTTGTTATTATTGCTTTTCTCTGGCACTCCTTATTACTGTTTCCGATATTGTATTCATTTCTATGCTTGGTCAGCTCAGGAGATTTTTGTGGCCTAGCATATGTGCTGATTTCTTAAGTTTACGAATTTTCCAATGGTGTTCTTTGTCTATGATCTCAACCTGATCCCACAGAGGGCAGTTATCTCCCTTTTCTCTCCATATGTGGTCAGCCATGCCTGATTTTTCCAGCTATTGAACTCTTTGGATCCTGTCACTGGATCTAAACAATGACTTTATCCACCGTGCCATGTTTTCTTTAAAGTACTAAGCCTCTTTCTTGAAGTAATAACTGAGTTAAACTACTTGGATATTGCTGTCAACCTACTAAAAATGACAGTATCACTATATTGAAAGCAAGAGAATTCTCCACGTTACATCAATGCAGCTTCCGATCACCTTCCAAATGTGTTCAAGCAGGTTCAAAAATCTATATATATGGTCATCCAAAAACCTTAGCAATAAATCAATTTCCAGTCATTCAAAAATAGATTACGAATTTGTGCTAAAACTAGTGGATACTATTTCAAGATACCTTTTATGGAAGAGAAAGATAATTTCAACAAAATTGATGAAGTGACAAAGAAATTTAATCTGGTTCTAGCCACTATTTAATACCATGAAAACCAGTGTAGGAAAATTGTTTATTAACTGAAAGATACATTCTAAAAGACACATACTAAAGGAGATATTTAATAGAAATTCAGTCAAAACTGCACTGAAAACAGGATATG